GATGTTCGTAAGAAGTGTTTGTGATGTCGTAATCAGTGTTTTGTGTCTAAGTCGTTTTGTGATGTCGTAAAGTGTTCTGTCGATCGTAAAGCATTTGTCGACGTAATAGTCTTTGCGACGAAAGTCTTTTTGCGACGTCGTAAAGTTATTGGATGTGCGTAAAGTTTTTGTGAGGTCGTAAAGGTCGCTCCCCTAACCCCCATGGTCGTAAAAGTGTTTGGAGGCGTAAAGTGTTGTGTTTAAAGTCTTTGTGATGTCGAAAGTGTTCTGTGATGTCGTTAAGTCTTTTGCGACGTAAATCTTTTGGACTAAAGTCTTTTGCGAACGTCGTAAAGTTTGTGATGTCGTAAGTGTTTTGTGATGTCGTAAAGTGTATCTGTGTGTCGCTCAAGCTTTTGCGACGTAAAGTGTTTTGCGACGTAAGTCTTTGCGACGTCGTAATAGTCATTTGTGGATGTCGTAAAGTCTTTTATGATGTCGTAAAGTGTTTTTGTGATGTCGAAAGTTTTATACTGTCGTAAAGTGTTAAGTCTTAAAGTCTTTGTGATGTCGTACAAGCTTTTCGACGTCGTAAAGTGTTTTGGATGTCGTAAATGTTTTGGTAATGTCGTAAAGGTTTTGCGTGTCGTAAAGTGTTTTGTGTTGTCGTAAAGTGTTTGTGATGTCGTAAGTCTTTGTGATGTCGTAAAGGTTTTGGATGTCGTAAAGTGTTTTGTGTTGTCGTAAAGTGTTTGTATGCGTAAAGTGTTTTGTGTCTTAAAGTCTTTCATTATGTCGTAAGTGTTTGTGATGTCGTAAAGTCTTGTGTCCTAAAGTCTTTTGTGCATGTCGTAAAGTCTTTGCGACGTCGTAAAGTGTTGTTGCGTATGTCATAAGTCTTGGATGGTCGTAAAGTCTTTGTGGTGTGCGTAAAGTCTTTGCGACGTCGTAAGTCTTTGCGACGTCGTAAAGTGTTTGTATGTACGTATAAGTGTTTTGCGATGTCCGAAAGTGTTTGTGTTGTCGTAAAGTGATTTGTTCTTAAAGTCTTGTGATGTCGTAAAGTGCTTTGCGACGTCGTAAGTGTTTTACGATGTCGTCAATGTTTTGTGATGTGGTAAAGTGTTTATGATCTCGTAAAGTGTTGTCTAAAGTTGTTTTGTGATTCGTTAAATGTTTTCGATAGTCGTAGAGTCTTTTGCATGTCGTTAAGTGTTTTGTCTTCAAAGTCTTTTGGTGATGTCGTAAAGGCTTTGGACGTCGTAAAGGTTTCGATGTCGCTAAAGTCTTTTGTGATGCTAAAGGTCTTTTTGCGACGTCGGTCAAGAGCTCTTTGCGACGCGTAAAGGTGTTTTGTTCGTCGTAAAGTGTGTCTCGTCGTAAAGGTTGCGAGTACGTAAAGTCGGTTTGGCGTCGTCGTAAATCGTTTTGTGTCTTAAAGTCTTTGTGATGTCGTAAAGTGTTTTGCGACGTCGTAAGAGTCGTTTTGCGATAGGTCGTAAGTGTTTGTGATGTGCTAAGAGTGTTTTGTGTTGTCGTAAAGCTTTGGTAAAGTGTTTTGTGTTGTCGTACAAGTCTTTGTGGATCGTCAAACTGGTCTTTGTGATGTCGTAAAGTCATTTTGGTCGGTGTCGTGAAGTGGTAACCTGCCTTTCCATAGGAAATCCCTCTGTGTGAAGAACAACCTAGACCTCGTGCTCGGTCGGCTTCTCGTGACGACACTAACCAACAAAACGACGTCAGTTCTTTACTACGAAGTCTCTAGCCAGTCGTGCGGTGCTCGTCGTGTTGTACACGTGAGTGGTTCGCGGATAGAGATCCACCATATTAATCCTCGACATATGTATATCTTAGCCTGCATCCCAGGCACTACAGTCCGGTATTCCTAAAGACGACCTCGAACAGCGCTCTTCGGGAATCATCCCGCTCCGCCGTGATGCCGGTTGTCAGCTTCAATTCTCAGATTGAGGTCGGACTAGGTATATCCTGTTTCTCCGCTCGACGTCTGTGTGCTACTTGTTGTAAGTATTAATCATTTACATACTGATGAGGCGAAAGCGGGCCGATGTGAAAAGGTAAACCGGGACATGCTACTCCGCTACATTCCTACTTTTACCCCCTACAAACTGAATAGACCGCGTGCGTCGAGTGTCGGTTTCACGTTGCCGCTCGCGAGGCTCGCACGTTCTTCTCTCTAACTAACAACCTAATTTGTTGTCGTAAAGTCGTTTGGATGTCGTAAAGTCTTTGTGATTTCGTAAAGTGTTTGCGATGTCGTAGAAGTGTTTGTTTGTCGTAAAAGTCCGTTGCTGTGTCGTAATAGTGTTTTGTCGATGTCGTAAAGTGTTTTGTGTCTTAAAGTCTTTGTGATTTCCGTAAAGTGTTTTGTCGATGTCGTAAAAGTCTTTTGGTGTCTTAAGTCTTGTGATGTCGTAAAGTCTTTGTTGCGGCACGTCGCTAAAGTGTTTTGCGATTCTTAAAAGTCTTTTGATCGCGTAAAGTCTTTGTCGGTCGTCGTAAAGTCTTTTGCGACGTCGTAAAGTCTTTTTGCGACCGTCGTAAAGTGTTTGTGATGTACGTATAAGTGTTTTGCGATGTCGTAAAAGTCGTTTCGTGTTGTGGATAAAGTGTTTGTGTGTCTACAACGTCTTTGTGATGTCGTAAATTGTTGCCGACTCGTAAGTGTTGCGATGTCGTAAAGTGTTTGTGTTGTGGTAAATGTTTTTGATCTCGTAGAGTGTTTTGCGCTGTGCCGTAAAAGTGTTTTTGTGGTCCTAAGTGTTTGCGATGTCGTAAGTGTTTTGTGGATGGCGTAAGAGTCTTTGTGTGTTCGTAAAGTCTTTGTGTCTAAAGCGTCTTTTTGGATGTCGTAAACGTCTTTCGCGACGTCCGTAAAGTGTTGTGTGCCATGTCGTAAAGTCTTTTTGTGATGTCTAATAGTCTTTTTTGCGACCGTCGTAAAGTCTTTGCCGACCGTCCGTAGAGTGTTTTGTGATGAGCTGTGCGTAAAGTGTCTCTTGGTCCGTAGAGAGTGTTTCGGATCTAAACGTGAAGGGGGTTGTGTGCGTGTGTAAGAGTGTTGTGGTCTAAAGAGTCTTTTTCTTTTTGTGATCTGTCGTAAAGTGTTTGTGGACGTCGTAAGTCGTGATGCAGTTGTCGTAACAGTGTTTGTGATGTTGGTAAGTGTTGTCGTGTCGTAAAGTCTTGTGGTGTCCGTAAAGATGGTTTTGTGGTTGTCGTAAAGTCTTTCGTGGTCGTCTAAAGTCTTTTCGTGCATGTCGTAAAGTACTTTGGTGTCGTAAGACGTGTACCTCGCCTTTCCCATATACGAATCCCGCTCCTTCTCGCGCAAACACTACCTCGTCTCGCGTCTCTTCCGGACGACATAGACACACACAAAACGACGTAGTTCCTTAGCTACGAAGCTCTAACCAGCTGCGGGCTGTCGTCGTTGTACAGGTTGCCCATAAGTCAACATCCCCCATTTTCATCGCTTACATCGCCCATCGTACAGGGCAAATGAAAAGTGTAGCCGGGGGGAAAAGGGTGTTACATTTACTTAATTATGAATGTTGTTACATCGTGTGTCCTGCAGCTCCGCCTCTTTGTCCTTATATGGATCAGGCTGGAGTTAGACTCTGACGTCACTGTTGAGCCGTTAGTGGCCGACTCCGCCTACTAAGGGCTTCTCGGCAACTCAGCAGAATCCTATGGCTGACATCACGGACCCTACGTCCATTTATATATACAGTCTATTCCCTAGAGATAGGGCTCTGGTTGGGACATGTTGTGCTGTCGGGTGCTGACCAATCTCGAAGCATCATTTCTTGACTGGCAGCAAAAACAACCAATCACAGCAGTGCTTCTCTGGCTGGCTCTGTCCAATCACAAACAAGAAGTGTTCTCCCTAAAGGAATACCCTTTCCGTCCAATGTGAAATGCTGTGGTGTTTTCTGAAATGCTGTAGTGTTTTCTGAAATGCTGTGTTTTCTGAAATGCTGTGTTTTCTGAAATGCTGTAGTGTTTTGTGAAATGCTGTAGTGTTTTGTGAAATTCTGTGGTGTCTTGCACTTCAGGGCCACCGTATAAACACTTTATATTTAGTATTTACTGTAATATATAACTTATCAATAATCGTGGGAGGCGTGTGGTGCAGTGGACTAGTGCGTTGATGCTCGTATCAGGGGGTCACAGGTTCAAACCCCACTGCAGTCAGCATGTCGTTGTGTCCCTGAGACACTTCACCCCAAATTGCTCCTGTGGGGATTGCCCACAGTATTGAGTATGGAAGTCGCTTTGGATAAAAGCGTCTAACAAGTGACATGTAATGTAATCAAGTTCACTTATTTTGAATGCTATTATTTTATGGTTTTCAAGTTGTATTATATACTGTAATAGACAATAACATAATCAAATAATACAATATAATCTAATTTTAGTATAATCATGTATAAATGGAAATTATTTAATAAATGGTAATACGATAACACTTCCATTATGATTACTTAAGTAAAATATGAATTATCTTGTTATTGTTGCACACATTAAAACATTTGATATACTATATTTATTATATTTTAATAACTACTGAATGATTTGGAAACCTTTAGAACATTTTGTAAAACATCTTAACACTAAGAATCAGAGGATGAAACCCTCTCTATCTGTCACACACATGTTCACGCACACAGCACACAGTGGAAATGGACCTATGCATTTAACACATCCTAATACCGGGGAGTAATGGGGTGTCAGGTGCCTTGCTCAAGGGCACCAGGGACAGTGCCACTGAACCTCTCCAAGTACCAGTCCACACTCCCATATTTAGGTCGGTTTGGGGACTTGAACCGGCAACCCTACGGCTCCCAGTCCCTACAGACTGAGCCACTGCCGGACACTTACACATTACATAAAGGGAAAAATCCGTATTGATTGACAAAGTAAAACAATTATCATCTAGTTTAATAAAGTTTACTAAAGCTCAGATAGTTTTTGATGATGATGATGATGATGAAGAAGAGCAGCTAACTGTATTCACTGCTTCATCTGTTTGTGATCAAATATCTTCACTCTGTCCTTTTCTTCTCCTGTTGGGCCGTCTTCAGCCAGCTCTCCACGTGTTTCTCAATCTCCTGAGAGGATAAGGAGGGAGAGTTTTTGAAGGACTTCATCTTCATCATGTGTGCGTGATGCAGATTACTCACACACCACCGAGGGATACACACCTGTCTGGCGTTCTTCAGCGAGCGGCGGTCGGTGACTCTTCCTCTCGCCATGTCCGCACAGTGAGCGCTGTCTCGAATGAAAACGCTCTCTGCTTCCTCTCCTCCATCGGTCCTGTTCGCCACCGACAGCTCCTTCCACGGGTCGACCCCACCTGGGGGAAAGGTGATGGAGATTTATAAGCATGACTTTTTACCACTTTACTTATCCTTTATTTATGCAGGGTTTCTTCCACTAAAGAATATGTTTTCTTGAAGGGTGTTACGTGACAACATGTCTGTACGTTTAGGGCAGGACAACCATGAAATGACATTTTTATGTTCTTCTTTGTCGAGTCATGTGTTTCTCAGCATCTCACCGTTGACGTAGAGCACCCGATGTGTGTGTGGCTCGTCTCCTCCGTAGTAACGGTTGGTGAAGGCGACGCTTACAGGCAGGGAATTCTGGGAAATTCCAAACAGCTCGAGACAGATCTCAGTCTGTGACCTCAGGGTCACCATCCCAGAGAACGGACAAGAAGCATCCTCACAGGTCTGATCTACACACACACACGCACACACACACACACACACACACACACACACACTGACACAACACACACTGACACACACACACACACACACACACACACACACAACAGCTGATGTAAAGAACAAACGTTTACTACGTGTGTGGTGAGAGTTGTGAGTGTGTGTGTGTGTGTGTGTGTGTGTGTGTGTGTGTGAGTGTGTCAGTGTGTGTGTGCGTGTGTGTGTGTGTGTGTGTGTGTGTGTGTGTGTGTGTGTGTGTGTGCAGTACAGAAGCCGAACTCGGTGCAGGTCTGGTAGGTCCACTGTCTCTCTGCTCTCCTCTCTGATTGGACGGTTGTGTCCATCAGGTCCTTCACTGTTTTCTCATGAGAGACGTCCAGACACGGCTCCTCGCTGCTGGAGCGGTAGATCTGCACAAGATACACAAATACAACACATCAAATATTTTAAATGAGTAAGGACCAACACACAGCACACAGCCTGATTTATCTATTTGCTTTCAATATCAGAATCAGAACAGTTTATTTATCTTAGGGAACATTTTGTGACAATTGCTCCATTTAAGAATGAAATTAAAAAAGATAAACAACAACAACAAAATAATAATAATAACAATAATGATGATAATGCCTAAATAAATACAAATAATTAAAATGATAATGATAGTAATAATGATAACACAAAAGTATTATTATTGAAAGTAAGTTATTTATAAAAAGAATGTGCTAAAATATATCTATGTTAACACAAGAATTCAAAAATAAAAGGTCCCATTAAAATGAATGAATTCATTGATGTTTAATAAATGATTTTCCATGATTCAACACTCACCGTTTAATATCTGGTGCTCATTTTCAGGTAACCATGTGTTTTAATCTACAATTTTTTAATGGCAGAAGTTTTCTTTCCTTTTTGTATTCTAGGCGGTTAAAAAATGTACTGTTATTATTTACAATTTATATTTCTGTTCTGCTATGACTCCTGAATTTCACTACAGGGTTCAATGAAGGTCCATCTTATCTTAAGAAGAGTTCCTGAAAATGGCTCAACACTGACACCTAGTGGTATACTGTGCAGAATGGACAACTGGAATTAATAATATTATTAAATTACTTTATATATCCCAGGGGAAATGTTTGGGGCAGGTTTTTTATTCAGTATAAAATAAATAAAATAAAATAAGTTTATAATAATTTTAAAAGGACCCAAAATATGTATATAAACATCGATAAGTAAAGTAATAATGTGCGATGAAAGAAAATAAAGATGGAATGGAATGCTAGAAGCCTTATTGCAAATGGGAAAGAATTCAAGATCTATATATATCAGTTAAAAGAAAAACCAGAAAAAAAAACAGACGTTATTTGTA